TGGCCATTCCGTAGCAATTCTCACATTGGACTGTAGCATACTGTAGCACAAAACGGCCGTTTCTCATGTGATGCTTTTGTTGCAAAGTCAGCAATCTAATATGGGTAAAAGAAATAAATGCATTTGCAAGTACAACTAGAAAGATGGATTCTTGATCTACAAAATAAGCGTAATAAAGTAACTTATCTGTCATCTACTTACCTGCCATAAATTTTCACTGAAAATGGAAATATCAATTTCAGACTACATCTTCGGGCCTATGCATTTCACCAGACTCGATGTGGTTGCATCCTCGATCATGCGTGGCCGTGATAATGGCCTTCCTTCATATAATGTCCTTAGAAGAACATTCAACTTGCCCGAGAAGAAATGGGAAACCATCAACGAGAAACTTTACGAGGAAAGGAAAGAGGTAAATGTTTTATTTTTTCTAACTAGCGTATGAATCCATCTGCCCTATGAAAGATTTTTCGTGTGAAAATCGCCTAAAAATATTTTTCAGCTTTTTGACCAACTTGCTGGACTTTATGGTGATATCAACTATTTGGACGCATATGTGGGCGGAATGCTTGAGGGCGACAATGGCCCCGGGGAGCTATTCAAGGCTATTATCATGGACCAGTTTGAGCGTCTGAGGGATTCTGATAGGTAAGGATAATTTTAACAACACCATATTAACTCAAAAAGTTGTAAATGACAGCTTTGTTGCGCAGCAAATCAAGTCAAACTTATTTCCGTTCCATTTTCAAGAATTTCTACCGTAGGAAAATGAAGAGTGCTGTAAAAGTACTAGTGTAGATCACAATTTTTTTCTTGTGTTATTTTGAATGCTAATGTTTAGATTCTGGTTTGAAAACACACAGAATGGACTCTTCAACGATACTGAGATCGATATGATTCGTAGTATAACTCTGAGGGACATCATTCGCGCAACAACTGAAATCAACGATTCTTGGCTTCAGGATGATGTAAGCACTATTTTTCTTTGAGAAAGTCACAACAAAAAT